GGGCGGGCGGGAGGCCCCACGGGGGAGGGGGGGGGAGGAGCACCCTCCCCGGGGACCCAGGCCAGCACGGGCTCCTCACACCGACTCTCCCTGTGGGATGAGCTGGCAGGGCCCCTGGGCCTTTGCACCTGCAGGTGGTGGAGGAGCAGCTGTGGGAACAATGTCGTGGTCACAGGAACATGCAAAGTGACAGAACAACAATCCTTCCGAGTCACGACGTTGCCACAAAACTCAAGAGAAAATAAAGCTTTATTTTAGGGTGTGGGGATTCCCCAGCAGTGAGGAGGCGGGAGGGAGCTGCGGGCTGGGGTGCGGGGTGGGCCTCGTGGACGCCTGCGCGCTGAGCACAGCTGCCCAGTCCCCCGGGCTCCTCCCCGCCAGGGCAGGGCCACTGGGGGCATGATCCCGCCCAGCTCTGGGCGGCACCGCCAATGGCCCGGGTCCCCAGCGTGCACGGAGCGGGGACACCGGGTAGCTGGCCCCTAGAACACGCCAGCGGTAAAGACACAAACACCTTCTGTTCTGTTGGTTAAAGCGCTTTAACACTTTGAGGTTAAGAAACACCACCCGTGTCTCCAATGTACGCGGAGCCTCTTCCGGCAGCGCCGATGGAAGCGTCCCAGCGACGCTCCCAGCTTCTCCGGGTAACGCCACTCGAGGAAGTGTGTTTGGCGGGAGTTTTGGTTTTACACGTAACAAAGCACACGGTCTGTGACTCTCCTATGACCGAATCAGACCCAGAGACAAGACCCGCGCGGGCACGGGCCCTGCGGCGCCCCCGCCCCGGGGCCTCCGGGCCGTGTGATCCGCGAGGACTCGGGTCCAGCGCGACCGTGGCCCTGACCTGGTGCCTTCTGAGCACCGCCCACTGAACTGACAGGACCGGCCTGGGCCCGGCCAGCTCAGGCCTCCTGAGAGCAGGCCGAGGGCCGGGCTGTGACCTCAGAAAGGCCACGTGGGCGTCCGACTGGACTGTGAACACCCTCCGGCTGTTCCAGACGAGCGCTCACGCTTCAGGTCAGCCCTGCTCGGGCTCCGGGGCACCCGGCCTTCCTTCCGCTCCCCTCTTGTCAGACCTGGGAATACGGGACTGCGGACTGGCCACAGCGAAACGCGGGACCCTCAAAGCTTGTTCAGTG